GTCACCCAGACGGGAGTGCAGTGGCACGCTCCCGGCCACCGCAGCATCGACCTGTTGAGTTCCGGCGATCCTTCTGCGTGAGCCTTCCAAGTAGCTGAAACTATAGGCACGCACTACCATGCCCGACTAATTTTTTTTTTTTATTATAGAGATGAGGTCTCACCAAGTTGCCCCGGGTGAGTCTCGAGCCCGTGGGTTCAGGCAATTCACTGGCCTCGGCCTCCCAAAGTGCTGGGATTACAGGCTGAGCCATGGAGCCTGGCCTCCTTTTTAAGATACTTACCTATTCTCTCTGAGGTCTGCCACTTATGAGGTTCATCTACATATCAAGAAACTTGAAATTTTTCTTCCCCCTTATCTCAACGAGACATCTTCTCTACTGATTTCAAAATTCCTTAGATAGGAGCCTAACTTTTGCTAACTAATTGCCAGTCAGGAAATCTTTGAATCTACCTATGTCCTGCAAGACCTGACTTGGAGATACCCGACCTTCCCAGACCGAACCAATGTAAATTCCACATGTATTGATTTGTGGTTTACTATAATTTCTGCCCTCCTAAAATATATGTAGCCAAGCTACAATTCAACCATGATGTGCAAAGATTCTCAGGTCCACCTGTGGATGGGTGTCTTGGGCCTAAGGTCACTCACATTTGGCTCAGAATAATCCATCTTAAATATTTTACAGAGTTTGGTATCTTTCGTCAACAGCTGGCATCCCTCTCCCCATGTGCTTCTGCCACGTCACCTTTTCCTCAGTGCCCAGTTCCCACATGCAAGGACACTAATAGCCCACTGCCCAGGGTTCTGCTCCCAGACCTGCTACAGGCACCAGGATGTCTGTGAACAGGGAGGATGGCCAGAGAGGAGGAAGCTTCCAAGCTTCTGTGTCTACAGCTCTTGATCCAGAGAAGTCGATGCACCCAAAACAGAGACAAAAGAAGATCGCGAGGAAGGAAAAAGGGCCTTCACCCAAACACGCCCTTTTTCTCTGGTGCCTTTTCCCAAAAGCAAACATCAGCAAGACTTCTATCATCTCAGAAGTTCCATAGCCAGAGCAAGAATTAAAATGTGCCTCTCCTCCACAGCAGGATCGCTACAGACTCATTTGGCACTCAGTAGATATCTGGGGAAGGTTAGATTGAAATGATGACCATCCTGCCCTTTGTCAGTCTACCTGGGGCATTAATTGACACTTCTCAGTAAGAGAAATTGAAAGTCCCAGATCAGATCCTGGGGAAGCATATCTGACTTAAACCCCAGTGACCACATCTTATCCTAGCAAGGTTTATAAGATCCCTGAACTGCTCATCAGTCTGAAAGAGAACCTGTTCATTCACACCTTGAGAACAGGATCCACGCTTCTAAGCTTTTCCACGTCTGGTGGTAGCCTCAGGGTTCTGACAACAGCCCATCATGATGCACGGTCCTTAAGCCTAGCAGGTGACCCATTTCAAAAACTCCTATTAAAACAGAGAGCTTCCTCTCTCCTAAAGCAGATTCTCAATAGGAAACCTGAAAAGCACAAAGCCAATCCTAGGGTCACAGCCTTATATGCATTTCAACTGAGGCAGACAACAGAACTCCTGACTTGAGTTAAATTATCCCTGCGGTTCTAGAAGCCTCTGCCGTCAGGGATATTTTCATTTGCTCAAAGAGCTCATTTTGGAAAGAGCCCATGCTGGTAAGCCATCCCACCTCACTGTCTTTACTAACATTCAGCAACGTCTCAGCAGCAGGGCGTGTGCCAACCTCAGTGGTTTTACTCAGCAACACCTCTTTCTGAAAGATTCTCTCTTCTCCTTGACTTCTTCATGTTGGAGCACAGCAAGTTCTTTCATAATTCCTTGGTTTAGGACAATTTATATATGGAGGAAAACTCTGGATAGTAAAGAGCAAGACTTTTTACACACATACCCCAGATTTAACCATTTATTTTCTTTTTTAAATAAAGTAGGGAGGGCTGCTATGGCATTCCCAATACAACAGCTTGGTTAAGAATCATGGTGACCATGTCAAATATCAACCAGACCCAAGACGCTGAAAAACAAAATGCATGTTAGATGTTTTTTAAATAAAAATTTAATGTATCCAAACATCTGACATTATTTTAAGAAATGTTTTCCAAGATTTACAGGAAGTTGTTTGGTAAGTCAAAGTGATTAAAAAGGAAAGACTACCTTATAAACTGATGCACAATCTTAGTTTAAAATAGAAATTACCATCTACATCTATATAAAGCACAAGAGGCATTGAAAAAAACATGATGGACACATGCATTTCCTTATGTGAAAGGAGTAAAAACTTTAAAATGTCATGTAAATGAAAAGACAGAGTGTAATTACATGAATCTAGTAGGATTGACTGGGTTATAAACTAGTTTTTCTTACATCCTTCATGTTTATGGTCATTTATTTTCCATCATGTAACAATACAAGATCCCAGAACTGTACAGAAGCTCCTCAACTCACAGTGGGGTTACAACCCCATAAACCTATCATAAGTTGACAATACAGTGAGTTGAAAATGCATTTAACACACCTAATCCACCAGACATCATAGCTCAGCCTCATCTACCTTAAATGTGCTCAGAGCACTTACAGAACATCATCTCCAACACAGAACATGGTAGATAGAGCATCAGTTATTCACCCTGGTGATTAGAGGCTGACTGGGAGCTGTAGCTCATTGGCGCTACCCAGCATCATAAGAGAGTGTTATGGCATGCATATTGCAAGCCCCGAAAAAGATCAAAATTCAAAATCCTAAGTTCAGATTTTACTGAATGCTATCTCTTTCGTACCATTGTGGAGTCAAAAAATTATAAGTCGCATCATCGAATTTTGGGGACGTCTATACTTACAGAAACTCTTAGAACAAGAATCTTAATAAGGACAGTCACTGCATGTGTTTTTCTTCCTTGGTGATTGTATGCTAAAGGATTCATTTCTACAGTGATACCCAAAAGGAACCCACTTAGCTGGCTGGTTAGACAACAAGAAGCAGTCCAAAGCCAGACAGATCTAAGTTTGGATCCTGCCTCTTTCCTTCCTAAGTTATGTCATGCTGGCCATGTCCGGGGACCTCTCTGAACCTCAATCATCCAAACTTAGAGATGAAAATAAGCTAACAGGTTTTGATGACTCGAACAAATATGTGCACCTTAGTGCTTTCCATTCACAGGCAGGAGCACAGAACTCCAACCCTGCCTGTAGTAGCTCCTCAGCCAGTGTGAATGATCACATCAACAGTCTAGATAGATCCTTTGTCACAGGTTATCAAGTAAAGTCACAGAAGGGAACTTTGCTCAAAAATTCCAGGTCACCCTCCCAAAGAACAGCCCAAACTGAGAGAATCTCTGAGGTCCCTGGAGGAGGGCTATGCAGAAGCATAGCTGAGGGATCTATAGGGTCGTCATGTGCCTTCTCACAGCAGTCCCTGGAGGTAAAGTGTCTTTCAGCGCCAAAATGGCGGGTGCTGGCTGGTGGTACCACTGTGCATCTGAACGCTGGCAAGTGCCAGCGATTTCACGTCCGTGGTGGAAAATGTCTGAGAACCATTCTGTGGCTTCAGTTCCAATCCTAGGACCACAAATACATTTTTTCCCTTCAAAAAGTGTTTGCCTTTATCCTTTATTGTGAAATTGACTCTACAGTTCCACAACTGAGGAATAAACATAGGTGGTAATGATGAAACCACATTTTGATGGATCTCAAGCTGTCAAGTGTCCTAGAT